TTATTACGCCATCAGATTTCAGTTCCGTGTCTCCAACAATGAAGCTGAGTATGAGGCCCTGATCAATGGTTTGAAGATTCTTGGTAAGATGGGAGTATCCAGGGTTCAAGTCTACAGCGACTCCCGACTGGTGGTGGGACAAATCACAGGGGAGTTTGAGGCAAAGGAAGAGAGGATGAAGAGGTACCGGGACTTGTCTCTAGAGATGTTGGGAAGGTTTGAGTTTAAGCTTGAACATATACCCCGGGCCCAGAACGCAGAGGCCGACGTTCTGTCTAAGCTCAGCGCAGAATCACCGGAATACATAAGCAGATTAGCAACTGTCGAAGAGCTGGTAACCCCGAGTCTTAGTAACAATGAGGTGATCTGGGTATCAGCTGATCCCCCGGAATGGTTGGACCGATTGGCCAAATACATTGAGGACGGTGAAGCCCCGGAGAATCCCCAGGAAGCACGTCTATTACGAATGAGGGCACCAACCTACAAGGTGCAGGACGGAGTCCTCTATAAGCGGTCTTACAACGGTGTCCTACTCTGTTGCCTTAGAGCAACAGAGGCGAAGGCATTGATGGAAGAAATACACGAAGGAATATGTGCCGCACATCAGGGTCCTTATTCCATTTCCAGGAGGGCTATCATCCAGGGATATTTTTGGCCAACGATGAGGAAGGATTGCGAAGAGTATGTACGCAAGTGCCTGACTTGCCAGCAATTCAGGAATATACCCGGGAAACCAGCCACTAACTACACGCCCATCAGCTCCGTTATTCCCTTCTCAAGATGGGGGGTTGACCTTGTGGGAGCCCTGCCAAAAGGGGCGGGGCAGGCAAGATGGATTGTGGTGGCGATAGACTATTTTACAAAGTGGGTGGAGGCTGAGCCACTTGCAGGGATCACCGGAAGGCAGATGATCGACTTCGTTGAGACTAATATACTCTGCAGGTTTGGGGTCCCGAAGCAGATTATATCAGACAATGGAACCCAGTTTGAGGAAGCAGAATTTAAGGACTTTCTCAAAACTTGGGGAATTCAGCACACAAAGGTGTCTGTTGCATACCCTCAGGCTAATGGACAAGTGGAGAACGTCAACAGAACAATCATAGACGGAATAAAGAAGAAGCTACTTTCAGAAGGAAGCAAATGGGTCGATGAACTGCCCAGAATCCTGTGGACATACAGGACGACTCCGAGGAGAGCCACGGGTGACACTCCTTTTGGCTTGGCGTATGGTTTTGAAGCCCGGGCCCCTGCCGAGGTAGTAATCCCCACCAGGAGAGAAATGGAATATGACCCGGAGGTGAATGAACAGAACCAGGCCGTAGAGCTGAATTTCGTAGAAGAACGAAGGGATGAAGCACGCATCCGGGCAGAAAATTATCGTCGTCAGGTGAAATCTTACTTTGATAGCAAGGTGAAACCAAGGGCATTCCAGGTGGGGGATTATGTTCTGAGGAAACGAGAGAAGAGTCAACCGACTAAAGGTGGGAAGCTGGCGAAGAAGTATGAAGGACCTTATATCATCAAGGCCGTAGTTCGCCCAGGTACCTACAAGTTGGTGACTCCCAAGGGGAAAGAAATTGATAGGACATGGAATGTAGAGCACTTGGTCAAATTTTATCAATAAATCATTTTGTAAAAATACTCTGTTTTTAATTGCAAATGTTTGTTTCATTCACCTTCTTCCATAGCCAAGTGCCTTTGCAATTTCATTGTTCTATGGATTTCTTTAAAAAAAAAAGGGGGGGGGGACGTAACCCCGGGCAATGTAGACCCACGTTACAGGGAGGTAGAAAAGTTTATGCCACCTGCTAAAAATAGGGGAGGTAGATAAGTTTATGCCCCCCCGGAGGTAGAGAAGTTTATGCCTCCGTCAAGATTGAACGAAGGGTTGGGATTGGACTTCGAGGGCCACTACAACCCGGAATTCAGGAAGAATAGCAAGCAGACTTCGAGGGCTGAAGCTTAGTATTCCACTAGTATAGATCAACTGAGCAAACAAACTTCGAGGGTTGGAGCTCAACTGATCCAAGGTAGATAAGATTATGCCTTAACCCGGAGGAAGGGAAGGCCAGGGGCAGATATGATAAGGGCCCTAGGTATTCCCAAACCCCGGGAAGATGAGATTTATCATAGAGAATGAATTATGTACTTGCATTTAAAGAGGTGCAAAGAAATGATCATTAAGGACCTTGTTGATGGGCCAAGGCTTACATTTTTTGGTTCACAATAAAGGTTCCTAGTGAAATAAACAAGAGAAGAAACTAAGGGAATTATCGATTGCTAATTTGGAAGGTATATCTTTGAATTACAATGATAATTCCTATTTCAAAATTAAGGAACATTCATTAGTTTGGAATGAGGGAAAAACCTCTGGACCGAGCACGTGAATGCCCCTTGATACAAAACAAGGAAAAGAAATTTGGTTTGCAGGAGGCTAGGAACTAAAGGAGGGCCTATTGCATCCATGCAGTCAACAAGATGGAGGTGGGGGACCCTTCCATGGGCTCTTTCTCTTTGACGAGGGATGCGTTGATGAATCAGCAGTTTCCCATATGTCATAGTCTTCCCATGTTCCGGGATGAGGGGCTGCTCCCTCCAATGAAGAACCATTGATGGAAGGCTTCTACAGGTTTGGAGGAGCAGTCTGGCTTTCACATGAAGGTTCCGCTTCAATAGCTAGTACAGAGCGTCCAAGTTTAGTCCTGCATATCCTTTGGTACAAGGCGAAGTCTTGAAGAGTCATGGAGTCCCAGTCTATTTCCCCGGAGGGAAGCCTGGGTGGACTGGGAGGAGAAGGTACAGGAAGGCGGGGCGCCGGATAAAGCCTCGAGAACTCGCCGGGACTCAACCCGGCCATGTCGTTGGACTGGGCTGGGGAGATGGGGAGGTCACTATCTGAAGAAGAAGACGTCCTAGAGAGGGTTAAGTCGATGATGACTTTGCCCTCAGACTTGCTTGCCATGGTGAAGAAGTCAGAAAGTGATGGACGGGCCACTAATTGCCCTTTCCCATTTTATAGTCAGTGGGGAAGGGATAGTTGGGAATTGATGAATGCAATTAAAAGGCGTGAAAGGAACGGTCGAAGCTTTCCCAAAGTTTGACTAAGAGTTTCTCGCCACTAAAGTGCATGGGCTAGTTAATTGGGCCCATTTGCGCTTTGAAAAAGACGTTATCCTGGGAAGGTAAGGAGTTAAATAGACTTAGACTTCTACTTCATGCAGATGACGGCACGTGCAACGAAATAATATTAAATGACAGGAGATAAAGGCTCTTTCCATTAAATAGCTCAAACAGAATATTACATTCTTTTGGGTTACAGTGATGGGCCTTATCCCTGATCTAATTATGAAACAAAAAAGAGACAGGAGATAAAGATTTTCATTGAATAACTCAAACAGAAAATCACATTCTTTTGGGTTACAGTAATGAACTTTGTCCCTGATCTACTTCTATCCTACTGCGGAAGGAAAAATTGAAAGCAAGGCGGATCGACACTTCTGGAATCTAAAGGAGTGAATTCGCTGACCCTTGTTTCCCTGCCTGAACCAGAAAGAGAACCTCAAGGCAGGAAGGCATGGAGAGTGTCCGCCGAAGACACTTCATGAAATCCACAAGAACTAGGATGGTACCAGCGGGTTGGGACCTAAAGCCATCCCCATGGATACCATCCGGTCATTCCTGTGAAGGCGCCCACCGTTTTCTCTTGATGACATTCAAAAGATACGGAGAGGGACCAACGGGTTGGGATTGAAAGACATTCCCCGTTGGCACCTTCCGGTCGCCTCTCTGAAGTCAGATCAGGAGGACGGGTGGGCATGAGGGAAGGATCCAAGGCCTATCTCCATTTATACGGAAGGAGGGGGTGGGTCCCTGAAGGCCCCATCCTTTTCCCTGCGTATAAAGGGAAGCCTGTTTCCCCCCATGTCATAGTCCCCCCATTCCTCAAGTGGCTGTCCATACAACTGCTGAGGGGAAGGGGAACTCTGAGAAGAAGGCCTCGCACCGGAGACCAGCCGGGAAGCTCTTGAGTGGGGATTGCGTCTCTTCTGTGGACGAGAAGTGCCAGGACAGCCAGAAGAAACTTCCGCCCTGGCACCGTTAGGAAGCACGCCGGGACCCGGATGGACACTCCCCGAGACCTATGGGGGGAGATGAGGGTTATTCTCTTCTCTGGGCAAGGGAGAGGTTACCGATTGTTCAGAGGCAAGAGAAGGCCCGGAAGAAAGCTCAGGTGTTGGGGACCCAAGTGAAGGGAATGCCAACGAAGAAGAATCAGAAGAAGAATCAGAAATGGTGAGATCAATGAAGACAACTCTGTTGGCATTATTGGCCATGTTGAGAACTTGATTGTGATGATGAAGGGATTCAGCCTAGTCCCTTAAATAGGCGAGTAATCCCAAAGGAGAAGTGCAAAGGACGCGGAGCCAGAGCGCTTATCCGATTGGGAGGCAGTTGCGGATTCCTGAGGAAGGTTAGGGTTGCCTCATTTTGTTATTGGGCTAGGGTGAACTGGGCCCAGCATAATTAGGGTGGGCCAGTCACTTAGCGCATGGATAACAAGAAAAGCATTACGTTGTGGATGCAGTTAAGCCCAAAGCCTAGGCGGATACAAAAAAAAAACCTGCTAAGTCCTAGGGCGGAACAAGAATCCCAAAAGGAGAACAGTTAGCTTAATAAAAGGAGTCTGTGAAGACGGAAATACATCAAGCGTTATCAAGTTACAGCCATCTAAATGTCACAAAGCAAAATGCAACAGTCAACAAAGAAAGATGAAGTCAAGGTCCTGGGTCTGCACGAGAAGCTGGGGGAGAAAGAGGGAGAGGTAACCCATAGTAGGAGATGAAGTCATCCAGAGTGCGGTTCTCAGGGAGACCACTCTGGACTGCCCCATAGATGCATTGCTGCATGTCAAATTGTCCCTCTTCGTAGAGGGCTTTGGCACGGGCAATCAGGGTGGCCACCTCCTTTTGATGAGTCGCGATCGTCTTCTCTTGTTCATCCACCTTTGCCCAGAGCTCACTTGCAGCCTGTCTCTCCCCTTTCAACTGCTCGAGGACAAGCCGCCTTGCCTCCATCTGCTTCAGGGCGAATTCATTGTGACGGGAGCTCTCATGCTTGGCGTCCTGGAGGGATTCCTCCAGCGCAGAGATCCTGGACTCCCTTTTAGCCAACTCAGCTTTCAAACTTCCTACCTGGTCTTCTGAAGCCGAGACCTTGGATTCCAGGAGGGAGATTTGTGCCCGGAACCTACCAAACTGCACTTCTAGATCTTGGGTCTCCTTGTGGTAATTAGCAATCTAATCTTGCATGGACTGGACCTTGGATCTCTCAGCTGCAAGCTCCGTGGAGTCATCTAGCTTGAGCTGAGAATTCTCTTCTAGCAGGATCTGGACTTGTTGCTCCAGGGAGTCAACCTTCTGTTGCAGGGCCCTGGCAGCTAGTTCCCTTTCCCTCAGAAGCATTACAGCCCGGAAGTTCCCTGATGCTCCACCCAGGTACTCCTCAGTCAAAGTAAGGAGCGATTGCTGGGCCTAAAAGGAGGAAAAGGAAATCAAGGAGAAGAACTAACCCGGAAAAGGGTAAAGAGATTGTTGAAGAGAAAGGGTACTTGTTCCATGAGATGTAGGGCATTGAGGGCAAGCAGATCAGGGCGAGCTTGGGGAGTTATAGGTTCCTGCACTAATCCCTGCATCCTTTCTAGATTCCCCTGGATAGTCCAATGGGAAGCTTGCAAGGATCTCAAACCGCGGGAGAAGCCTTCCCAACCCTCTGCGAAAACGGAATAAGTCCGTGGCGTGAACTTGCACCGGATGGGGAGATTGACAGCCGGGGGAGCAGTAGCGGGATGTCGTCCTTCCGGATCTCGCTGCTCCTCCTGAGTCTGTTGCGTCTCAGTCTCTTTCCTCACTTCTGGAGAAGCTTCAGCATCTTTCTGCTCTCCAGCCTCATTCTCCGCCGGGTGGGAGACTTCCGTTTCTAACTGCACTTCAACTTCCCTCTCTGCTGTAGGGGAGGGCTCCGGTTCCTTCTGCCTCATTCCTTCTTCCTCCATGGCTGGGGGACTGGTTGTGGCACGTGGCGAGGAACCGGACACTTCAGTCTGGGGCTGCGTTGTGGGTTTCCTGAGCGCAGACTGGTCCCTAGGCTCTTCTTCCTCACAATCGAGTCTATCCGGGTGGGATGACTCCAAGACCCCGGACGTAGCAGCAGGAGTGGTATTCTGAGTACCAGAAGAGTTAGACAGGGGGCTGGGTGAAACAGAGGTACCGCCACCCTTGTTCTTTTTGGGGAGGAAATCATCGTCGGAGAGACCCTCCCGTGGCCGTTTCTGGGACAGAGTGGGCCTCCTAAGCCCAGGAATGGCAGAGATAGGAACAGCATTCAGAGCAGCATCCGGATTGCGCACCACTAAGGTATTGGAACCACCTTG